GTAGGTCAACATGAATGTCATATAAAAGCCAAGCGGCTACAGTACAACAGAGTTCAGCCGTCCTCTTCTGGTGATATCGACCTATGAACCTTTTCTTCGTGTACTTACATACGAAATTGAAGTCCCCCGACAATGCTATCTCAGGAGACTCATCGAAACCCAGTCATTCTTCGTGCTTACTTCAATAATTGTGGGAAAATTCAATTACTAGGCCTTCATCACCTTAAACGAAATATAGTGAATACAGCTCTCGTAGAGAACTGATCAAAACCGCTTGGCTCCAGGCAGCGCCTTAAGACATACCAACGAAACTGTATGACCATTTTCGTTCCAATATTACCTGTCCCGCTTGCGGTGATGAGGTAAGCAAGGTCAGGTGAAATTAAATGGAACTGTGAGGTCTATTTATACCATTTTGGGCAAATTCAACTGCCAGTCCTTGATCGCCTCGAACAAAATATGGTGAATACTGCTCTGTATAACCGTTTCCCTCCACAAAGCTGCTGTGCCCACACACGACCGAGCGCACGGTCATAGGCCCGCTGATGGATTCGTGTCTAATTGAGGTGTGTGTGTGTGTGTGTATAATGTTGTGGTAAGTAGGCGGGCCAGAATCAACTCGGCCTGCGATCGCAGCAGCAGAGGCAGCCCGGTTTGTCTTCGAGCTTGACTCTGGCCTCTCGTCTGTGCACGTCAGGCCCCGCATGCCAGTCCCGGCTTGTGGTAGGCAATTGGCCGCGGGCCGTGGGCAGTGCAGCGCACTGCCTTCTCATTCTGTCGATGAGTCATCTCGCGCTATCGATTGAGCACGGGCCGGTGTGCCCTTCCCGTTTGGGCCCGAGGCCTGCGGCAAAGACGGCGAATAAAGTGTGCGCTGGGCTACAGGCGTCCGAGGGGCAGCAGTGCTGGCAGCAGTGCGCTGGCCGGAAGCGCTGCCGACTAGAGTTTTCGGCTTTGCGTGCTGCAGAGCGAAAAGGCGCAATCTCTCGACAAAGGCGATGAAGGCGGTTGAGCACCACGTCGCTGGGTCAGTGGAGCCACAAGGAGATCTGGTCTAAGCCAGCAAAAACGTGTGGATGCAACGTGTGGACTCCAGCCGGTGGACGTTTTAGACTCGACTTGGTGTTTGGCGCCTTCAGGACGTTTTACCCGTCATCTCGCGTTACATCACATCGGACTCCCGGCCCTATGGACACAAACAGGCAGAATGTGATAAACGCACGACAACCATCCGAATGACGTGACGGTCATGACGGCAGGACCGAGCGATCTTGGCTCAGTGAATCAAAACTTGCCTGAAGTGGGTTGACCTCGTTGTCGCAACTTGGTCTTGTTCTCAGGGAGACCATGTAGAACGCACCTAGTCCCAAGTCGTCTGCCATAGTAGTTGTCATGACTCCCAGCATCTGACAGTGGACTTGATACATTCTCAAACGTTTCGGCATCGAAGTCGGCATCATCAGTGAGTTTTGCCATTCGCCGCACCAAGCTACGAACTCGTCAAAGAGACAAGTCTCTTGTCACTGATGATGCCGACTACGATGCCGGCGAAACGTTTGAGAATGTATCAAGTCCACTGTCAGATGCTG